GGCTTGCGCCATACGCGTGTACCCACCTTACTAGAGTGTAACTCTGGTTTAGGGGGGAGAGACTCGCGCGATCACGAAACGATTTGGTTCACGCTCATCACACTCTGACGATGAGGTCAGTGCGTTTGATGCCGATATCGACAACATCGATATCGATGAAGATGATGCCAGTGAGTGCGAGGAAGCCCTCACTGATGAAAAGGTTGATGTCGCTGCAGTGCACTCACAGCGCACTGAAGTTAACGAGTCAGCAGATGAGTTCATACTGGCTCGTGAAAAACGGTAGTCCGTTTTGTGCAAGACTCCATCGCCGAAGCTGTGGATAAGTAGAAGCAAAACGCAGACAAGAATGGAAGGGCAAACACTCTTTTATTTAATAAAGGTGAATTAGTCCTACTGTCTACGGTTAATTTACCAAAGCATGTAGTGACTAACTTGGGTAGCAGTAAACTACTATCCAAGTACATCGGCCCATTTCATGTATTGCACCGCCTAGGCAATGCATACACGATCGAGTTACCACGTAAGATGCGAACGCATCCCACGTTTTACGTTGGTCGGCTTAAGCCGTACCATCAGTACGCTGCTTCTGCCGATGAAGAACGCCCTTGCGCTCAAGCATCTCGCAGAGAGCCTTGTGCTCCCGATGGTGGGCATCGACAAGGGTCTGAAGAGCAGTTATCTCATCCCGAGACCGATCAACAATCCCACGAGCTACCCTTAGCTCGTCACGAAGAGATGTCAGAGCTCTCTCGTTCTCAAGCTGAGAAAAGGCAAACTCAGCTCGATGCTTCGAGACAGTGTCCGCCATTTGGAGACGCCTGTCCCGCTCATGTTCGAGATCGTCGCGTAACCCTTGCGTTACGCGATCAAAGAAGCTCTCGGGAACACACGGATCCCCACGATCGTGTGGAGAGCGTCTTTCCTCCTCCTCCAACTCCATTAGAGGACTCTCGCGGTGACCAGCGCTATCTGGTTGAGCAGCTGTTGAACCACCACGATGTGAACGGACGTCGGACGAGTTATCTCGTCCGGTGGCGCGGCTATCCCTCGTCCTGGGATACTTGGGAGCCCCGCTCCCAACTGATGGTTGACGTACTGGGTCTGGTTGAGCAGTACGATGCGGCACATCCTGTACCGCAGAAGGACCGCCGGAGAAAGTCTTCCCGGCACGGTCGTAAAGGGATTTTAGGTTGTCAATCCCTTCGTACATCTCAGTAGAGATACGCACGCGCCACCACGGGCTAGTAAGGAGGTAAGCCTCCTTAGGTGCTCGTGCAGAGTTGTTCACACAACATGGGCACGAGTCTCCCCAAGAGAGGCAAGGTAATTCTTTCTCCCTTGACAGACGATGCAGCTTGTAGCGTGCACCTGTCGAAGTTCGCTTTTCAAACTTATCACGAGCTTTGATAAGTTTGTCGTTGAGGGACCATTACGCTTGTGATTCCCACTGTACCATCGATGTCTAAAGAAAGCATCGATGAAGAACTCATTCTCAGCGCGATAGTTTTTCGCGCTGGGTCAAGGTGATGGATCCTTGACGAATCGAACAATCGTGTTCGATAACGATCACTCGTCGTCGCCGACAAGTGATCCATGACAGATTTAGGAGGCATCCATTCCTTCTTCTCAGGAGCGAGACGCAAGACATTGCGGTCCCGCTCGTCCTGCGACGTGCCGACAGAAGGACTGGCACCTCGTTGCGAAGTGGTGTCAATAGGAGAACCGACACCACTGTTAGCGCCCGAGTCTCGCGACGTCGAGCACCTTCGCTTCGGCCATGGTTCATCAGATTCGTCAGATGAACCAAAGATGCTACGACGCGTAGCATCATCCATGCCACGCTTTGCAGGCGGCTTGGATTCGATTGCCGTCGATACGGATCCATCTTCCGTATCAGGAGAGTACGAGACACCGAGCTCATACTCTGTGAAGACATGAGTGTCTTCATGACGAGCGCCTGCGTCACCAAGTGAAACAGGCTGAGTCGCTTCAGCAACCGATGATACATCAGTTGCTGTGGTTTCTGCTTCGGCGTCCGCACAGAGACGTGCAGACGCGCTCTCGGCGGCCTTGCTCGCGCATCGCATGGGCTTGTTAACCAAGCGATAAGATGTTGGAAAGTGGACTCGGACCAACAAGTGCAAACCCTGTCCCAAATGATTTGGGACGAGTATCCATTTAGTCAATCGGTCACTAAAGTGACTGATGGTTAAGGGGGGGGTGATGTAACGGGGTGAACCGTTACATATCAATTTATAAGACATTGTTAATAGAATATAACTATAAGAGTTGTATTCTCAGAATATTGTTAAAAGGGCAAATAACCTGTAGCACTTACGAGTAGTTCCTAATTGGTTGATATAGGCCATTATATCAACCAACGAAGACGCGCCACGATAGACGCACGCAATGAGTGGTGAGCAGATAGTTGATATACTCATTTGTAGTTAGACATAGTTAGATGAGGAAAAACAGTGGTTTGTTAACAGACATTAACTATTATGAATGCAGTTCTACTTTTTACTTTAATCAAGTACTCGCTTCTCCTTACCGTCTTCATCTGTACGTACCAGTGTACGTGAAGTTACTAGGCTCAGCCTTGTTCTGTCATCAGAATAAGTAGCTAGTACTGTCATCAGTACAAGCTTCAGGGTGCCCCATTACAGGCAGGGTGGGCGAAGAAATTGGGCCTTGGGCCTAAAGCTACACGACCTATTTATATCTCGATCGTTAGAAGTCTTTAAATCTTTGCTTTGTCAATAGATTGCAGCACCGCGAGCTGAGTTCAGGACTCGCTCTATAAATTCAATACATACGTCATCGTACGAGTTGCATCACGACCCTTCGTCGAACGAGCAAACGATGATCACGTTGTTCATGGAGGGTCTTACAAACGATACAGTCAGGACCTTTCTTTCAATTAAAATATATTATCCTGGATAAGGCAAATCAAATTGCGGAACAGAATTTTTTTTGAGTGAAACAAGCTCACATAAGCTCAAACTATATTCGTCCCTCGAAGTGACATAAAACTAAAGGCCCATAATCGATGGAACTCTATTACGCTGAAAATATTATTTCTTGGCTACCGATTATAAGAAATTAAAGACATGCTAAAGGTTTCAAAATCCAGGGTATTATGCATACGAATGCAGTTCCTTTACCGTGGCACCACTCACCGCGTTAAAAGTAATCGTCAAATGGCCAAGAAGGGTTCGAGGTGTGGGTTCGATGCTGTTGCGAAAAATTAATACCGTAATAGACTACCAACAAACAGTCAGTGTAAGTGTGGCAAAGCGGTCACAAGGAAATTTACGGCTCAGTTGGAGTGGGGGGCTGGGTGGATCGTACACCTCAGATACGTCCAAAGCGTTATGATTGGTGGACACAAAATGGTACGGGTGGCTAGAAATAGCGAACCTAACCCCAGTAAGCAGGATCGGTATCACTTGGGACAAGGCTAGATGACAGTTGAACAAGTTGGATTGCGTGATTCATCGTGAGACAGGGAAAGGGAAGGTTTGTGGTTCCTCACCTAGGGATCACGACCAAGGCTTAGGATTACGATCGTGACTTAGGATTACGATACGGACTCAGGATCTCGAGCCGGACTAAGGATCGCGAGCCGGACCTAGGATCGCGATCCGGACCATATACGCGATTCAGACCTAGGTCGCGATCCGGACCTAGGATCACGATCCGAGGTAAAGTTGTGGTGATATCTCGTGTGGACCACAAGAAGGTTCGACTGTTAATACACCTGATGGGGCCACGACAATACGTGCAGATTGTCTTCCTAAAACGATGACACAGAACATCCGGTTAGGATAAACGGATAAGGCAGAGGGGTAGGTTTGGGTTGATCGATGAGCATTAAAGAGAATTCAATTTAGCTCTTAAGGCGCACGCAACCTCTGTCGGGCAGGACCTTTGGCCTCCCGACGAATAAAGAGTCGCGTTACCCGTCCATATCAGTGTTGCACCTGGATTGTTTGGTCAGGTGCGGTCAAGAATTTGCATGTAACCACAACTGCGATCGGATGCAGCAAGACATGTAAAGGCAAGGCACAAGGTCGCGAGACGGCTCAATTGGTCAGAAGGCTTGCATATCAAGAGCCTACACAGTGGGCAAGGCGATCTCGTTGAGATCAGGTAATTGTTATCAGTACCCCACCGATACCCCAGTGATCGCGCGAAGATTTCCTCCCGATCACACAGGTCCATCTCCAACACGGTCAAGTTTTCCCTCGACACGAGTCCACCTGGAAGATTGTAACCCGAACTACCAACGGGCACACAAGGTGAGAAAAGCAATATAAACGGAACCGGAGTATCCTCCTCCGTTATTCGATCGTCTGGGTGCCAGTGGAGAGTCGGTATCGTCTCAAGAATGAGCGATCACCAATCCACCACAATGGTGCGCGTGCTGGGATCTTCTGGTGACTCGGGATTCCACCGTGAGTCCCTGAGTAAAGAGGTTCAAGTCAAGACTGAACTTTAAATGGAAGCGTTAGAGGCGGATAGCCTCCGTGGTTTTAAAGGATCTCTAGATTATCAGAGTTTTAAGAGGAGCTCGGATAGCAAGTATTGAAAAAAGGGAAAATTGAACTTTTGATCTGGAAAATAGTCCTCAAACCCCTCCTGAGGTCCCTTCGGGGACCACCGCGGATCGTGCTGCAAAGTACGATCCGCTGGATGAAAATGAATCAGCGTAAACTTAACAAAAACTACACAAGTCAACTCAGGCATTGGCGAAGATTGTGAAAATCGATCGAGTGAAGAAAGAAGCGTCCAGATTGGACCAACACGATCGCAGTGCAAAATTGATCGTCAAACCGATCAAGTTCGTAAACGATGTTATGGATATGACGATGAAAGGCTGGCAGATGCATCGACTGGCGCAGGGATACCGTTGGAAGGCGGTCAAGAATCTGCTATCGAGCGACCTTGTGCAAACTATGTTAAAGCCTTAACTATTTGGAAAAAAATAAGGTCCGATGTCTTTACTGAAGGCGGCAAATCAATCGCTTGAAGGGATTAACGCGTTCATTCAGCTACTACAGGATGTGGAATACGTAGCTGGCATTTTTGATGCGGACAAACTGCTGGAATGTGAACAAAATCAGTTGATCCACGCGTGTCAATCGCTATATAACAAGTTGGTCCCTCTGACGGGTAAGCGCGAAGCCACGGATCAAGCTGTTGGTACGATCGCCGATGCCCCGAGAGGGTACCATACTGGATCATCGCATTACGCCTCGGCGGAACACGAGATAGAGTCGGACGATTCGGTCGGTATTCAGCGGATGCCTTGAGGCTCAAGTAGAGAAGCACATCTGCGTCATCGTGTGGAGATGATCAAGATCGAACCGCGATTGACGATTATTGGCGTTACAAAAATAAATGACGCCAACTAGGCAAAAAAAACTGCAGACACACCTCGATGAGGCCATGAGACATTTTCAGCAAGATCAGCGGGGTCTGGCACATGAAGCGATCCAGCCGAGCAAACAAATCAAGCCTGTAAGAGCCCGATAAACATTTACCCCAGATCTTGAGATGGAATCGGTGCAATCGCAAATCAGTCGATTGGGGTTCTTCGACCCTGAAGACGCTTTCTAGACGGCTCAGGGCAAGAGGGGCAGCGACGTGCGATTTTGGCCACCACAGAGACGCAACAGGAAGGTGGTGCAACTCCTCAGCGCATTCGAGTGTCGGCAATGACAGAGCTAAATGTATTTAGTGGCAAAGATCGAGACAAATCGAACCAGAATCTGGATCAGCAAAGTAAATATGGCGATCCTTCGCGATCAAGCTCTCGATGAAGAAAAATGTTTGGTGTTCGGTGATCTGTTGACGGAACCTGCGCGAAACGGGTACAACCAGCTGAGTCGATCTGCCCGGCACAAATGGAAGCGATTGCTGGATTTTCATGGTCCAGTATGAAGAGCAAGGTGTGTCTCTGGCCAGAAAATTTATATCGCGCGGAATCGGACGGATGAAAACCCGCCGGAGTATATACACCGTCTCAATGTCGCGGCCAAACACGCTAAGATCTCGATCAAAGAAGAAAAATGTCTACCGCGGCCACGCGTCGCGAACATGTGTACCATCTCATCGCTACGCTCGATGATCGCGATCTAGCAAAACATCTTACTCTACTGCGATTGAAGAACAGTGATGAAATGGAAGAAATTCTCCTTGCATGCCAACGGATCGAGGTCGTCAGATAAAAGCGTCGACGGGATCGAACAGATCCCATCAGCGGGCGACCGCGCCTTCGAATCCAATGTCATACAAGACAACCCGGGAAGTGAGGGCGGTCAGCACGAGAGTCTAAAGCAGCGGATCGGAATTAGACTCAATGGGATCCGATAAAGGCAAGGATATTCGCCAAGTCTGTGTGACTACTACGCCTGTTTAATAAAAGTCGGACAAGGATCATCGCGCTTGGCATACGGACACTGGTAAAGATATGGATGTGATCGAAATGGAAATACGACGGCATGTATCCATTGTGGATATACCAGACACGATTTTTGGGGATGCTGGCAGAGACTGACGTGTCAGAAACGTGGCCGCAAAGGACAACCATCAGACAAATGTTTTTGTGTATGTGCAGCTTGCGGAAAAATGCGTGAGAATAGCAAGTGCCCAATGGAGGTTTTTTTTAACTAGATCCGCACGTGGTATGTGCATACCAAACACGCGGGGATGTTTCCCGTCAAGGTGGAGGAGATGCTAAACTAGGACGCTTGCCAGGTTAGAAAATGGCACGAGCCGAGCATTCTAGACTTTGCATATTTGTTGAGAGAAAGCTGGACGACCAAGGAGTTAAGGATCAGCGCGATCCGATCAATCATATATTTGATCGTTCACTATTGGTTTTTTCTTTATCAGGTGTAACTTGAGTGGAGGATCATGCCCGATCCCTCGTGAAGGTGGAGCTCGATCTTGCCCCAGGGGCCTCAAAAGGATATTGGAAGTATCGTACTCCTGGAAATTGATTTAAGCAAGCGAAAGTAGTAGGCAAGATTGACAATGAGGAGGCTACTATGCTGTTTGATTCTGGAGCGGTGATCTTGATCATCAGCACAACCTTTGCTCGTATGTTAGGATGTGTGGTCGACGAGAGCCGAGCGAAAGAATGTGTTAGGATCGGGGAGAGTGCCTATGTGACGGTGGGTTGGACCAAGATGAAGATCACACTATACGGATTACTAGTATGCTATTTTGATGTTTTTGTTGGCGATCAGGTTGGTCAAGAAGCCATACTATGAATGGAGTTCAATGTTTAGGCAGGAATCCATTTGGATCTGGCCGACAGAACCCTGTGTTTACCAGATGAAGTTCGGATCGATTTGGTTCAACAAAGACCACCATATCAATCGAATAAATCGGCGATTAACCTTAACGATCAACATGTTGCGATACCCACCGTAAACTTAATGGAAGTCAGGACCGGCGTCAATCCTCCGAAGTCTAAGATATGGGTGAGACGAGATGTGGCTCGGATTCCTACCGTAATGAATTAGCCCGAAAAAAAGTCCCTACAGCTTACGAATAAAAGCGATCATGACTTGATCTCAAGTAATGAGGCCTCTATAGCGTTGTGGATGACAGAAGACATGAAACCGCGATCTCAAGGATACGTATCCGTAGAATCGCGGCGGTATATGGAATAGCAGATAATGGTCTTCAAAGCCAATACAGATCGAGAGGAAGAAGAAGTTGAAGCATACACGGGCCTGTTAGTGGATCATCCTGCGTATGAGAAACCTACCCGAATCTTAACACGACCGAAACGGAAATCAGACGACGTCAAGCAATCTGTGGAGATCACTTCGCTGTCTGAATCTAATGGTAGCACTAGTGATGGGTCGCAGGACGTGTTTACGGATGTTAAGATAAACGAAGACAAGGATAGTGAATCGACGATGATATCGGGCGCGGTCAACGCAGTGCGAAAGACGCCAGCACAATCGGGTGAAGTAGACGTGGTTGTAGACGAGGCGAAAACTCAGAAAGACAACCATGAGATTACTGATTTGCTACAAGGACAGTCCAACTATCATCCAGACGAGATCAAGGTCGAAGATCAGGAAGTGCACGGCCGGTTTACACGACTAGACGAAGACGCAGAAGCTGTTAGTATCGACAACGAAGCGACGAAAGACAACATACCAAATGATTAAATCCATTCTTATGAAGGAGACGAAATGTTCGCGAAAGATGTGGAGCAACACGTGGCTGATCTACCGGAATTAACTACATACACATCCGAGATCATGATAGAAGATGTCCAATTTGGCAATCTTGGAATACCCATGACAGAGGATCAAGAAGATTTTCGACAATTGAAATGTAAGAGTCGTCATATGTATATAGGGAAAGGAAGTGCATCACCCCATGCAGCGCGCGAGGCCGTTTGTGGTATTGGTGTGGGTGAGGCAAGGCCGATTGCGCAGCGCGTACGACCTGTTGCGCCAGAATTTCGTGAGAATTTAGTCGCTCGGATAAAAGGCCTATTGTCGGCCAAAATTATCCGACATTCGACATCGCCGTGGGCATCACCGATAGTCGTGATTATTTAGAAGAATAGAGAAGATGTCCGACTATTTATCGACTATCGACGAGTGAACAAGCTAGCGCGGTTAATGGTTTATCCCATGTCGCTTGTTAGTGAATTCGTGCAGGATATGGCCGTGAGATATGTGGTAACGTTCGTTGGACATGGCGAGTGATTACTGGGTGATATAGATGACCGAGCGAGCGAAGTTAATCTTTTTGTTTATCAAACCCTCAGGTCTATTTGAATGGTTGAGGGTGCCTTTTAGACCAAAGAATGCCCCTCAAATTTAACAGCGGTTAATTAACAACGCTCTATAAATTTACCTCAAGACCGGCGCAGATAATGATGAAAACACAAAAAAATCTTATGGTTGACCGATCTGTTCACCAAAGGAGAACTATAAAATGATCGGACACCGTCAGTGCTAGGCAGACAATCCTTTACTGATGACAAAACGGTCCCAGCTACGTCATGGACGTCCTTGTATAACCAGGTCGAGCGACTACTGACGGTGTGTGATCGATGGAATGTGTCGATCAGCTTGATCAAAAAATTTTGGGGACGGCGTAAGGTGGACTACCTAGGTTATCAGGTATCTTCGGCCGGATTGGAGGCCAACTTTAAAGATAAAGGATCGCTATTCAGCATCCCTTTCCCCACAACGATGCGTTCCATGCAATTATTCCTGGGTTCCTTGAACTATTACAGTCGCTTCATAGAATATTTTGCAGTGTACGCATCGGTGTTGTACGAGCTACGAGAGGCGGATTGTTTGAGATTAGTCATATAAAGGATCGGAAGGCATAAAAAGGAGCTTGCGATCTCACCCTAAAAGAGGATGATTTTGATTTGAAGGAACGATCTCGGTGGGGAAAAGCCACTATCGCATCCATCCTGTTGAAGGCTAAGAATGCGGATACCCTGATCATCAAGCACCTTAATCCAGATCGAATGCTAGTGGGCCGTATCGGACTTCCTGATGCAGGAATGTGATGACGTATATTGGCCCGTGAAATTTACGAGTTGCACACTGAAGCCCAACGAGATTAATTATGGCATGGTAAAGAAAGAACTATTTTCCCTACTACGTCTTTTGAGGGTGTGTTATACTATGCTAGTATCCCAAAAGATCAGGGTGCTGACTCGATATTCTACATTAGCCTATCTAGTTAAATTGTCTGGCCTTTACGGGAGACTAGGAAGATTGGCCGCACTACTATCGAATTGGACACTGGAGGGTAGGAGATGCGAAAAAGGGTTAGATGAAATACTCGGCGCACTCGCAGCTAGCATAACACCTGGAGAAGAGGTTGATGATATGTTGATCGCGATCATTCCACAGAAGCAACCTAAACCATTGGTAACTATGCCACACACCCCACAGTGGAACCGGATGAATAGCTTTTGGTTGTTATTTTTGACGGATCGGCGCGAAAAAAACGAAAGAGCGGGTCCTATAGCGCGATCGCATAAAAGCTACCAGAATGGACGATTATTGTAGCCGTTTTGGAATACACAGCGGATCTGACGGTGAATGCAGCCGAATATTGCGGCATGATACTGGGTTTCGATCTTCTAGATGGCCAGACTAGGGGGGGTCATTATATGTGGTGAATCGAACTTAGTGATCCAACAGATGCGGGGTGAGATCTATTGTTAAGCGCCCGGATTACAGTTGTTGCGTCACAAGGCAATGCAGAAACTTCGATCATAACCAAAGCTTGAGCATCTACACATAAAGCGATAATGGAATCAGAGTGCGGATCGACTATCTAGCACACCCTTGCAGAACGAATAACTGTGGTGACTACAGAAGATCGGCGAGATCTGATTCGCTGATTTAGTTTGGTAAATTGCTGATGCCTAAGTCGGACAATCCAATTGCACAAATAACCGCGATCACGAGATCGGCCGGAAAGAGACACCCTCAGGCTAAAATGTTGCACGAGGAGGTGATGCAAAAGATTAGGATTTGACGAATTGAAAAGCTCCAGACTGAAGAAAGTTAGATCGTCAATCTGACGAAGTCCATGAACGGCGATTTGTCCATCCTGGACGCAGGAGAAGCATGTGTGTGTAAAATTAGCGCCAGAGTATGAGATCGATGCTAATGACTTGATTTTTCTGCCGTTTAGAGAAGAGAGAGTCAGAAGATTGCGATGGTCTAATGCGTCTGGTGATCCCAGAGACGTTGCAACAAGACCTTCTTCACCATTACCACGCTAGTCTAGAAGGAGGCCACCAAGGTATTTGCAGGACAAATCAGAGGATTAGATCGAGATTCGATTGGAGAGGGTTGTACCGGAGTGTGCAACGATATGTAGGTGAATGCACCGATGAAAAACGGAAAAGGGATGTCCGACAATCTAGAAAAGATCGCTGGGTAACCTACAAGCAACTTATCCATGCCAAATTATTTCTATGGACCAAATACATCGTTGCGGAAGTACTTCAAAGGAATCACGGAGTTGCTGGTTTGAGTGGATCTCTTTTCAGGATGTGTGATCTCGAAAGCTGATTCGTCACGAACAGCACAAGCAATTGCAGAAAAATTACGAAAAAAAATGTGTGTTCCGGCGATTCGGCGCCAGTGAGGAGATCAGGCATGATCGAGAACCTGGATTTACCTCCGACTTTTTCCGAGCTTTCTTTCGGATCGTGGGACAGAGACAACGTGCTACAATCGCATATAGGTCACAGTCAAATGGAACGGTCGAACGGATGGTACAAACTCTGATGCGATCGCTCAAGATGTTTGTCGCTAATTTCAAGCAACAGGACTGGAATGAGTGTGCTGAACGGCTCACGTTTGCGATTTACATTGCTCAAAATCGAATCCGGGGGAATACTCCATTCTATCTGATCCAGGGTAGGATAAACGATATAAGTTGGAGGATACGGTATCAGTAGGGAAAAAGAGAACTTGATATCGCGATTTGAAGAGATGGAGATATCTAATCCAGAGACAATATTAACGAGATTAGGGTCTAGTGAGTAACAGATTACGAGCTGCGATCCAGGAAAGAGCGGATCAACGTAATGAAGATCTAGAACCACACGAGATCTAACTCTGTACACAAGTTTGATTATGCCTAAATCGGATCGAAGAAGGATATGCGAAAAAGCTCGCACATCTGTGGTATGGTCCGTTTCGAGTTGCAAATACATGTGGAGCTCACGCTGTGAGACTGGAAATTGCAGAAACTTCCTATCGAATATTTCCCATTGTGCATCTGTCGAAGCTGAAGAGAGTAGATATGTTCCCCGAGCGGCCGAAGGACCAGCTTATAATGGACGAAGGAGATTGCTTGGATTTTGACAAGGCTCTACTACCAGTAGATGGTTGAAGGGGCGACCTTGAAGAATAAAAGCTGAAGTGGAAGGAATAATGGATGTGCGATCCGGTAAAAAACCCGTTATGGGCGAGTACATTGACAATTCTTGGTGAAGTGGAAAGGTTATCCCGATCTGAGTTGGGTGGATGAGGCCGATCTAATTGTGGGGCAATTTTTAAGAATTTTAGCGAAACCGGGTTAGTCGAAACCATTTCGAAGTAATAGAGTCACACAAAGACGGATCAGACAACCCCTCATGGATGAGGTTGAAAGATGTGCTAGGAGGTTGCATATGCGGGTGGATCGGTATATGTGCAAGGAAGTTCCACGAGATGGTTGAACTGGGGTATTAGTAAGTATGTGGCGATAGCGGATCGAAAAGTTCGATCGCGGCCAACAAGACATAGAAAAAAAGTTTAGTTCATGATGACGAATAAGATGAAGGATCGAAGAAATGATATCAAGATATGAAACTATGTGATTCGAACCTTTGCGATCACACGAATAAGAACTTGCCAGGCAGACGTGCGATCGACGATCCGAGGTGGTTGGCGATAGAGGATCGAAACTGAATACGCCAAGGCTCAGCTACGTTTAAGTGATGCGTAGCCGATATCAAGTTAGGAATGTTCTTCTGTGTACATCCCAAGCCAGGATACCATAAGGTCACTTCCAGGTGGGACGGGAAGTGCAGGAAGAATGGGTTCAATAGAATTTCCAGATCAAAGTGACCTGCGATCATACCCTGCAAGATGAATCGAAGGATCTTCTCTCATTGGGGCCCAACTCGCAATCGACGTTGTTTCCGCTGTTTCGATTATATACAGCTCAGGATCGCTGGCCCGCTGTTTGCCACAAAGGAATATTTCTTGCGTCGATTCCCACACGCCTGTCCGTTTCAATCCTTGCATTCCAAATACAGGGTGGCGGGTTGGTCGTACCACACTGTACGAGGAAAAGATATAAGTGCGATCCGGCCTGCATAATACGCCTAAGGCTCTTGGGCGTATAAGGCCGTAATCTGGGCCGAACAAGTCAACCAAGGTGCCCACTAGGATGTAGGAGGAGGTTTATTAGGCACAAGTACCGTCGGGAAGATGAACCCTTTAGGACGGGACAAGTAACGATACAAGAAATCATCTTCCAACTCCGCGACACTCGTCCAACTGACTCTGCGCGCTGACCAAGGAGAAACTTGAGCCAAAGACCGTGGTACACGATCTTTATATCCGAGGATCCACTGGTCACGATAGATTTTTTGGAAGGCAGACCACCGTAATCCGCAAGA